AGAGGTCACAGACAGCTGAGTCAAAGGTCAGTCAGACAGCTGAGTCAAAGGTCAGTCAGACAGCTGAGTCAAAGGTCAGTCAGACAGCTGAGTCAGAGGTCACAGACAGCTGAGTGAGACCACAAACAGCTGAGTGAGACCACAGACAGGCAGACAGACAGTGTCATCTCCTGTCTTTATTCCTAAACATTTGTGACCTTTATAAAACAGCACGCTGAGTCGGAGTCACTCAGCAAAAACCTGCTGCTGCTAGCTCACATCAGCACTTAGCTGTGGTGCGTTCACAGACCAGGCAGAAAACAGGAAAACAGAACGTTGGAAACAGACTCACGGGTTCCAGTGCTCTTTGGAGATCCTGTAGAGGCTGGCGAACATGATGGGCAGGACGACGCTGGAGTTCTCCTCGATCAGACTCATGATGTACTCGTTGTTCCAGTAGTACAGAGCTCGCTCCGCCACCTGACAGAGGACACACGGACCCTTCAGAACCAGCTGGGCTGAGACAAACAGAACCTGACCCGAGCTCGGTACTGACCTGGAAATGTGGGCTGGAAACACATCTGGAGATCTGTTTGAAAAGTGGCTCCTGGATCTTAACGAACTGTGTGGGTTCAATAACGTCCAGGATCTCCTCCAGCTCTCCTAAAAACATCACCTGAAGAGCGCGAGGGGGTGGGGGGGTTACTACACACACTCACACACACGCATGTGCACACACATTAAACAAAATTAGCCTTACCTCTTTTTGACTGCAGGTTTTTGGCCAGAACTTCAGTAAGCCTCTGATGACCTGAGGAGCAAGAACACAAGTCTTGTTTCAGTTTCTCTCTCAGTCGTGGAGAAAATCTTTAAACGGGTGAAAGTTGGACTGACAGCGTGTCTAAAGCTCAGCAGAGGATCTCTGCAGGACAGGGAGAAGAACCTGCATCTGTCCCTGCAGTGTGGTGGCAGATGGAGCGACCGACGTCTGGTTTCTATCCAGAGACAGGAAGGAAACCTGCGGAGCCTCCGAAGACACGAGCTTCGATTTACGTGAACCGCTTTCTGATATTTGTTGGTACGTTTGGTTGAATACGGTGCAACAGCTGGATTTGTGTCAGGAAGTTGAATTTACAGACGGTTCTGATAGAAGAGCTGGAATATGTTGGACCATCTGAAGATCAAACGTGAACAGTTCGAAGTTTTCTTTAGGGATAAATAAACATGAGCATTAAAGCATCAGTGTGTCTCTGATTTATAAAAATGAAGCTCAACGTCTGAGCGGGGGAAAGCTGTGGTTGGATGAACTCCAGCTCCATCAGAGTCGTGACAGGAAGCTGACAAACTCTGAACATTCATCAGGAAAAGAAGAGGGACAACACGCCAGTCCAGGGTTCTGACGGCATTAGAAACGCCGTGTGTTCTGATACTTACTGGTTCTGTTAATGTTGGGTCTTTCTCTAAGAACTGTACAATGCAATACGCCAACTGCAGAGAAAAAAACACAAAAACATCATTTCAACTGGGTTTCATTAAGAAGAACAGCTTGCAGCAAACGTAAACAGAACCAGGTCCAGGTCCGGTTTGTGAGCTTCAGAGTTTCTGCAGAAATCAGCCAATCAAATGTGGTACTTTTTAATGCCCTGCAGAAGAAGTGTGCCCCGTCTCACTCTGCAGAGTGAAACCAAACAGGTTTGACACCAGAACCTGCAGCTCAGTCAGGAACGGGCTGCAGACTCGTCTGTCAGTGGGAGATAAACCCGGTCCCGTTTGGATCTCTGCAGCAGAACCATCAGTCAGTTTAAACGGGTCACAGGAAGTTGGACTTTCCATGACTGAGCTGCTGGTTTTCCATCTTTAACGCTTTTTAAAACAATCCCAGGTCAACATGGAGGATTTATGGAGGTCGGGGCGTGATGACTTCACTTTGGATTTGGTTGAAACATTTTAGCTTCTTTTTCAAGCCCTCCCACTGATTAATAACCTCGTCTGTAACAAATGTGGCTAAGAGCCATGAAACCGTTAGCATTCAGGTGAGATCAGAGGCCGGAGGAGGTTCTTACCTGTGCATGGAAGAGGGACAGACTCCTGACAGTATGGAGGGGGATCAACACTTTGACCAGAAACTGTTTATGTTCTGCCTTCAGCGGCAGAGCAAAACCATTGATTATACTGGGGGGGGGAGAGGAGACAAATATAAAGTTGATTATTACAACAAACCATCAGAAGCTTTAAATACTGAAACAACATCAGAAGAAAGAAATGAATAAAACTGAACAAAGGAGTCAAAGCTCATTTCTAACTGTCCATCATTCCACAGATTCTTCACAAGACAGTTCACCCTGAAGGTCAGACTGTGCAGTACTCAGAGAAATGAGCTTCATCTCAGAAACTACAGGCCGCAGTTATCAGGTCAAAGGTCACTACAGGCCGCAGTTATCAGGTCAAAGGTCAAACTCCACAGTCCTCAATAAGCAGGTCAAAGTCAAGGTCATACAGACCTGTTAGTAGGTCAAAGGTCAGACTCTACAGTCCTCAGTTATCAGGTCAAAGGTCAAGGTTCTATAGGCCAATAATTAGAAGGACAAAGGTCACTTTACAGACCTCGGTCAGCAGGTCAAAGGTCAAACTATAGTCCTCAGTAAACAGGTCAAAGGTCAGACTCTAAAGGTCTCAATAAGCAGGTCAACGGTTTTGGCTTTACAGTTAACAGGTTAAAGGTCAAAGCTCATGGCTATTCTCTCAGTTTCACCAATTAAAGGTTTTGGACCTGGAACTGGACCTGGACAGGACCAGCAGGTTTGGGAGGTCACAATCCAATCAAAAGATTGTGGTTCGAGTCCCTGCAGCATGCAGAAGTGTCCTCGTATGAATTCTAACTTTGGGAAATGTGCTAAAAGTCTTAGTTTAAACTTTTAAAACTTTCAAATCACTTATTTATATTAAAATGAAAACACCCAGAATCCTCCTGGAATAAATCCAAACCATAAAGACTGATTTAACGCTGTAAAGTAAAGAAATCCACAACAAAAAGTCTAATTTAATGCTGTAAATTTATGTTCCCTGAAGGACTAAATGAGGAGCAGAGCTCTGCTGGAGCATCAGCTGGAACAGCCAGTGTGTGTCGGAGGCTCGCAGGGTTCAACATACCTCCCCAAGATCTCCAGCAACTCCGCCACCCCGTTGAAGTGCTCCGTCTCATAAACAAACCTGAGAGGACAGGAAAAGAGACGCGAGACAGAGGGGAAAAAAAGGACCAGACTATTTACTGGTACTGACACAAAGAAGCTGGTGGGATTACCAGAAGTGAGTGACTCTACAAACGGAGCTGAATCTATGATCAACAGGACGAACTAAACTTTTTATTGATGATAGTCTCAGCAGGAGCTAATCCATCTACCAAAACAAGAAAACAAACTCACCGTAGAAAAATATTATTGATCTGTTTTCGTATAAAAGCCCTCAGCCCCAGGAATTTGCCGTAGATTCTATGTAGGACCGTCTTCAGGTAGTCCCTCTCTCTGGGATCCTCGCTGTCAAACAGCTCCAGGAGCTGGACCCAGAAAACCAGAAGAACAGAGGAGAAACAAACAAAACAGAAAACATCAGCGAGGGACAAACAGCAGAGGAAAACCGTGCGAGTCGGTTCGAGTCGTCACCTGTAGGACAAACTTCTGGTCTATGTACTTTTTGGCAATGCTGGGCTGGAACTCCTGACTCTCCAAGAACCGAATGAAGAACTCGTATATCAACTGAAAACAGAGAGAAACCGGGTCAGAACTTGTTCTTCCTGACCCAAACCCTCAGAGTCAATAAAAACACTACAATCAGAATTCTGAGCAACAAAAAGGTTTCATAAACTGCCTTCCAAGTGAATCATTTCCTTGTTCTCTCCTGGTTCAACTTTAATTTAAAATAAACTTTTTAATCAAATGGAAACTACATTTTATAACAAACAAATACCATTAGCATCAAGTGTACTTCTATTATAATGTGGGGCTTAAAGTAATCTCCAATTCCCTCAATTTATTAAAATTTCTAAATGTTATTTTATGATTGAATCCACTTTTTTCCACCTACAAAGTGTCTTCTTTGGTGAATATAAAATTTTAACAACTGAAAACATGAATATTGATAAATTTAAACAAAACTCAGTGAAACCAGTTTCAGTTGGACAGAACGTCTAAAGTAAAGAGTTTAAATCATTTCAATGAAACGTTCCTCATAGAAACTCTTCATATTTAATTACTGTTACAGAAAAAGCTTTAAAGGTTTAGCGTTAAAACTCTAACCCTCCCTGATGAAGACGAAGCAGCCTCCGTCTCTGCTGCAGCAGCTTCCAACTTCTCCTACAAACCGAGGTCATTCAGAGAGCCGTCTACAGCAGGTAAGATACTACCCGTCATTTTACTCCACGTGAAAATATCTGAAACACCTCTTTAATGAACTGCAGCAGGTCTTATGGCTGCCACTGAAACAGCCGAGATGTTTTTACACCAAATGAAAGAGGCTCTTCAGTTCCAGAGCCCCACAAGAAACAAACGTTACTTGAACACCTCAGATTATTAAGAATTTAAATAATTATTCTTGGACCTGTAGGTGAGGCCAGGACGCCTCGAGCGTGGGCTCGTCCTCCTCAGGGTCAAACTCATTACTGTCGCTGGGCGGAAGAGTCCGGAAAATGTTGTGAGACACCTGAAAGAAAACCAAAGACATTAAAAACACAAGAACCGGTCCAGTCCAGGAGGATTTGAACAGAACCCCCAGCAGGGATTGCTGAGAAAAGAGCTGAAAGTGAGCACTGTTAAACCATTAATTGTTTCTTTAATCTATAAATTAGCCGCGGCGTTGTGTCCATGTCGTCATCACTCAATGTTAAAAACAGGTCTCTCTTTAAATGAGCCGCGAGGCTCAACGAGACTAACCTGTAGAAATAAAGGTTGAATGAATAAACCGCGGCGTTCACAGCGTGTGAAAAAAAATCAGCTTATACGGTAATTGTTTTTCTAATGTACGTGAATGTTTTAGTACACTGCCCTGACACAACTTTGATGGGACTTGGAGGTGTAGAACTACAACGATTTAAAAAATATTTCAAGTCTAGATATTATTAGCAACGAAGGTGACTTCTATTAAATAAATAAAATGTTTCTTTATCACAAAAAGTCAAATAAATATAAAAAAAACTGATCCAATTGTTCACTTCAATGATTTATTAAAACGTAAGTGTGTGCTTTAACATTTTAAAGTGGAATACTTTGATAATTAATTAGTCATAAATAAAGACACGAACTGTTTAGTTCAACTTTTCTAAATGGGAGTTTACGAAACGATTCATTGGTGTTTGGTGTCGTTCTTGGTCCCAACATTAAGAAATACCAATAAATGTTTATTTTTAATCTTAGCTGTTTGAAGAATAGATTGTAATGCTTATGCAACACCTGAAGAGCAGTGCCAGCTTTACTTCAAACCCCACGGCGCCAGTGTTCGTTTCCGCTCACCATTTTGACGACCTCGGGGTAAGCCTGCTCCGTCAGGTAGCCCCGGCTGACGGTCACGTAGTCCACCAGCTCGTTGAGCGTGGAACGCTTGTACTCCTTCATCTTCAGGTCCGACAGCGTGTCCATGAAGTCAAAGACGGTGCAGCACTGCTGCAGCTTCTTCAGGAACAGCTCCGGCTGCTCCGGCGCCGGCACGTCTGTCGACACAAACGGGGCAAAGTCAGAACCGAGTCGAGGTTTCAATAAATCGAGCCATGATGCTGCTGACCCACACCTCGGGTCAAAATGTCCGTTTCCCGTTCTGTGATGAAGCTGAGCTCCACCTAACTGACACAAACCAAGAAGGACCACAGAGACCTGCAGCCTGGACCTGATGTTCTGACCCAGAAGAACTGGGCTTTGATACATGAGAAGCTGCAGCAGACGAATATCTCAGCGTTTGCTCGAGTTCCAACTACAAACTGCTGCTGTCCGACGAGCTCTGAATGAACAACGCAGAACCTGTTCTGTAGGAGACGACTCTCAGCTACTACCACACCAAGGTGTAGCTCAGTATCTGGAAAAGTGACTGTTTTTCCATTTATATACTAACATTTCACAGCTTCTCTTCACAGAAGTGGCCTGGTTTAGGTGAAGAATAAGGTTTAAAATGTCGACAATAAGCTGTACTTGATTATTCTGACTGAGGTTCTGCTGCTTTAAGACCAAGTTAAAAGTCTTTAACGTTAATAGATAAAAAACAAAAAACAGTCATTTTCTGCATCACAGTAACGGAGCAACAGAAAGATGCATCAAAGTATAACAGCTAAACTGTACTGAATGAGTAATAAACTTATTTTAATATAATATACAAGTATAAATAATTCGTTATTATGCAAGACAAAAAACTTACAGTTGGTCTTATTATCAGCGTTATGGTATAAAGGTGTAAATTTGTTCTGAGTTCTCCTGCAGTGAGTAATAAACAGAACCTGGGGATGCTTGAACTTAAGCGTTGCATTATTTTGTGGCTCGTCCTGTAAACGTGCCCCAGAGCCCTCGGATACAACAAGTGAAACAAATCCAGCCGGGTTCACTTCCTCTGGATAAGATTTTCAAAATTTAATTTCAACATTTACATTTTAAAGACTGAAACAAACAAAAACAAAGAAACTCAGTCATTTTTCTTCTGAGTGGCCCAGATCCGTCCCCAGACCGGTCTATGAAAACACTGGAGCTCTGTCCTGGTTTGAGCTCGGCGCTGATCTTATTCTGCTTCACAGCTTCGGAGCGGCAGAGACTCATGTGGGCTCCTTGGCAGGAGAAGAGAGGATCCACTGCTGCTTAATTACTGCTGTGAGCAAAGCCTAATGAGGCCCGGCATGAGCGAGAGAGCAGGCAGACCGCAGGAACTCCTTTAACTCCGTTTAATTACACAACAGAGCCCAAACGAGCAGCTAACCATCAGAACCAGCAGCTGTCCATCACGTTTCTTCACCAACACAAAGAGCTGACACGAGAACAACATTAACATCAGAAACAGATGTTTGATGAAATTCATTTGGACTTTAATGATTTTATAATACAGCTGCAGACGAGATCCCTGTGGAGTGCTGCGTCCTTCCTGCTCCACACTGGATCCTACAGCCCTCAGGAGACTCGGACAGTCCAAACATGCCGAGCCCTGGTTCCATGAGGTCCAGCAGAACCTCAGAGGAAACACAGGTCAGTTCAGAGTCTGTCTGGGCTGGATCACACGCAGCACAAGAAGCCGGGACCGCAGAGACACGAGTGCTCGGGCAGTATTACACGAGTACAGGACACACGTTTGTACCAATATTTTGAATAAAAATATACATTTATCACGTTTTTGTAGATTTCTGTTAAAATATTCATACAGAAAAATAAAATTACCTCTTCAATATGACTGATTTTTAGGACAAAATAAAGATTACTGCAATGTTTTTAATTAAGACTTTTTTTTCACATGTCCATCCGTCCGTCCGTCCATCCATGCATCCATCCATCCATCCATCCATCCATCCATCCATCCATCCTCTACTGCTTGTTCTGAAGTTGGGTCACAGGGGAAGCAGCTTGCGGAAGAAACTGAGGTTCAACCAGTGACCTGACTCCCTTCTCCAGTACCACTGAACAGACCTTACCAGGGACGCTAAGGAGAGTGATGCCCCCATTATTGGAGCACATCTTCTGGTTCCCCTGTTTGAAGAGGAGAACAATGACCCCAGTCTGCCAGTCCGGTGGCACTGCCCCTGATGTCCACACAATGTTGCAAAGACAGACCCACAACATCCAGAGCCTTAAGGAAATCAGGGAAGATCCCGTCCACACCCGGAGCCCTGCCGCCGCGGAGCTTTTACTGGTTTCTAATGAAAACATTTAATCAAAAACTATATACATTTATTTATTTTTTTTTTATATATATATCTACTGTATGTATAAAAATGCAAACATGTGAACAGCTGCTAACATTTCACCATAAAATTAAAGGAGGAAAAACTAAACAATCCAGATAAAATGCATCCAGGCAGGCTGCTGTTATGAAAAGTTTGAGAGTCGGTCATGATGTCAATATACTGCGATTACAATCAGAACAGTCAACATCAGCTAAATCCAGTCCGGATCATTCTGATAGGAACGTTATTTGGGTCAAGGTAATCAGGAAATGCTTCCAGGACAACCTTCTACAGGTAGGCCCACATGACTAACCCAAAGTCAGTACCTCTGTAGAACAATGTGTGCAATGGACTCAGTAACAGGACAAATTGGTTTGTAAAAGATTAAATATGAGCAGAAACAAACTTAAAGAGCAACAAAAGGTAGATTTTTAATTTTCCATGATAATTATTGTTTATTTGGAAAAAACGGGACTATTTTTAGCTGATATTCAGCAAACTGCTCTGCAGAGCTCTGCACGCATGCACACAGTGGACGGGAAAGCCCCGGTCTCTAAAAGCAGTGACCATGTGAGTGGCTTTGAGTTACAGGATGAGAGAGCGGGCAGCGCCAGCAGATGAACTCAGCAGGTCCTTGCTCTGTGTGAACGTCATTTCTTGGAGCGGTCAGTCCAAGATGAAGGTTTTACTTCAGCATCTACCTTCTGCCATCAGAAAACATTAAACAGGACTGAGAGGAGAGCCAGAGCTGCAGATGGAGGGATGTGGGTGTGACCTTCGCTCTGCTCTTCACTGCTGCTCGCTCTAATAAAAGGTTAATGATTCTGGACACGGGTGCGTCCTTTAAGACACACCTTCACGAGCAGTTACAGAAAATCACGCCAGGTATGAGTCCTTAACAGCTGATGGGCTGGAAAATGATCACTTCCTCATTTAGACTCAGGAAGTCTTTAGATATGGTCTACAAAGAACGTTTGATCACACGACAACACCTGCAGCAGCAAACAAAGAGAACGCTGACACACATGGTGCAACTTGTCGTGTTTCCTGTTGGTGTCCCAGCAGCCCCCGCTGTCAATAATCAGCCTGTAGGCCACAGAGGAGAACGTTACGTAAAGGATTACCGAGAACAGACACGTCAGAACATCTGTCCGCCCTGCCTTTAGGAACATCCAGGAGAACGAGCTGACAAGATCCAGAACATGGAGAACGTGCCAAACACAAACATCTAGAACATGAATGAAAACTAAGTGTGTGCAGTAACACATCTTTAAGGACCCCTGGGATTAGATGCCTCACGGTGAAAACACCAGGAGCCAACAGAAAGTATGTTTAGAGGAACAGCGGCGCTAACGATATTAGCATCTTGGAAACTTATCCACAACTCCAATGTTTCAGAGTTTTTAGTGACTTCTTCTGATGACCTCAGTTATTCCCGAGACTCTCTTCAGGGTTTAGTGAAGATTTCAAAACATACAACTTTCCTGCAACAATTTTCTACAACAGGAAGCTACGGGAACTCGACTGGGACAAACGGCACCATGAAGCGCAGCAATGACTGCTGACTCAGTACAAATTAACAAAATCTATATTTAACATAGACCACTTTCAAAAAGCTTCAACTTAAGTTTTTTCTTGGATACTTTAACAAATATTTTACTTTTTGCAGAAGTCAAACTGGGTCGTGTTCTAAGGCAAATAAAATAATCTCGAAATGAACGCTGAACTACACACTCAGTGTTTCTTGCGGACAGGAAACAGCAGAAAGGCAACCATCAGTAACATGCTAGGAAGCTAAAGTATGGATGTGTTGCACGGTTCTGTTGGGTCAAACTGGCGCTGCGGGAGGGAAACGTGGAGTCCTGATACAAGCTGCACTTTCTGAGCTAAAAATAAAAAAGTGAACCACGTCAGACAAAAGTCATATTGTCACAACTCGGTCAGAGGAAGGAACGTTGAACAATAACAACTAAACAATGCAGACGAAACAACACGCGCTTATAGCTCAAAAACAGTTTGGTTTCCAAACTGGAAAACATTATAATCCACATTAATTTGACTTTCAGGTTTAATAAAAAACAAAAATATGTGACTGACACACACACCGGTCGTGCACAGGAAACAGCTCGCGTGTCACGGAACAACTGGAACATATAAATATATGGAATGACCCAGATAGAACGTCCCTGTAACGCCATGTTCTCAGGTGTTCCTGCGAGGCAACAGGCTGCTGTCAGTCATGGACTCGTGGAGCGGTTCTGCTGCAGCAGCCGACAAACTGCAGGGCTGAGGAGGTTCTGGTCCGTTCAGGTACCAGAGGGTCATTAAAACAAGTCATGCATCTTTAAATAATATAAATTACTTTGGTCAAAGAGCGTCTTTATGTCTGAACCACACGGGTCAGAGTTCTGGGGCTTTAAATTAAGAGCCTGTTTGCACTCGGAGTCTGTGCTGGGGAGGACTCTCAGCTACTACCACACCAGATTTTAGCTCAGCATCTGTAAAACTGACAGAGTCGCAGCTGTTTCTGTTTGCTGTGGTCTTCTAACCATTTCAGAGTTCATTAACTGATCTGAGAGTTTTATGAAAGATTCAGTGAGTGAGTCATGGAGGTGAATTATAGGTGATAACATAGTTACACAGAACACCGGGGTGTAGGAAAAAAACGTGTTGTTTTGAATAAATCTTTAAATCTGCCAGTGTTCAAACAAATTTAAACTTTGTAGTCCTGCTTGTGTCTGAAGACTACTTCCTGTAAACTCTTCTTCCTCTGTAAACTCTTCTTCTTCTACTTTTATT